CAGACCAAGGGGACGGTGATTAAGGGATCCAGGGTACCTTCATCCGTCCATCCATCCCCCTATCCTCTACCCCTCCACCCTGCCTCCTTACCCCCTCCCTCCCCCTCGCGGGCGACTCCGCAGCCAGAGTTGGCGCTTGGTGCGGCCGATCGCCGATGCCATCGTAGGCCTACGTCGGGCCCGTTCCTCTACAGGAGAAAGATTCGAACACAGTCAAAACAATAGTCTGGGGACTATGTTGTCCTATTGTTGAGCATTTGGGGAGTAATTGTTTAAACTATGTTTGAACATTTGGGGCGTATTTCTTGATTATTTTGAATTCTTCTTCCAAAATCCCCCTGTAAGGGGGGCAGGCCCGACCTGATCGTGGGCGGGCCGTGCCAGCGTTGATCGATGACTCGTGCTGGCGTGGCCCTCCCCTCCCGCCCGGCGCGGGTCCGCAGAGGTCCGGACCAGCGCTCGCGCTGAGCAGCGGCTTGCCGATCTCGTGGGCCGTTGTCGTTTTGCTCTCGTTGTGCAGCCAGGGCGGTCCTCCTCCTCCTCCTCCTCCACCTCCTCCACCTCCTCCTCCTCCTCCTGCCTGCCTCCCGGCGTGGGTCCGCAGAGGTCTGGACTAAACAGTGGTTTGCCGATCTCGTGGGCCGGTTTCGTTTTGATATCGTTTTGCAGCCAGGGCGGTCCTCCTCCTCCTCCTCCTCCTCCTCCTCCTCCTCCTCCGCCTCCTCCTCCTCCTCCACCTCCTCCTCCTCCTCCTTCTCCTCCTCCTCCTCCTCTTCTTCCCCCTCCACGAAGACAGGACGAGGGAAAAGCAAGAGCACGACGAAAGCGGAAACCACTGTGTTTAGTTCGCGCCCTGTTGCGTGGCTGGCAGCACCCAGAAGGGATGGTTCTTCTATCCTATGGCCCGTAACGGTCGCTACCCGCCCCCAATCCCCTTCCCCTGGGGTAGCGGCAGCGACCGTGCGTGAGGTGATGGGGGGGGTTGGACCCCCCCCTCCCACCACACACACACGCACACACACACACACACACGCACACACACACACACACACACACGCTGTTGGTTGCGCAAATACCAGTTCGATCGCAGCGCACCCCTGCCCCGACGTGCCCCACACCACCCAAGAATTACCGTTCCTCCCCCCCTCCCCGCCCTCCTCCCCCCGGGTAACGATAAAACGCACACATACACACAAAACCAAGCATTCGACGCGGAGATCCACGTATGTGTATATCATGTTCATGGCGCGTTTCGTGTAGAGTGCTTGTCTGGAATATCTGGATGTCGAGGACGAGGAGGAGTAAAATTGGGATGGGGAGGAGAGCGGAATGAGGAGAAGAAGAGGAAGAGGTGGAGGATGAGGGGGAGAAGGGGAAGGAGGATGATGGGGGAGAAGGAGGAGGATGAAGAGGGAAAGGAGGAGGATGAAGTGGAAGAGAAAGAGGAGGAAGGGAAGGGAAAGACAGAAGAGGAAAGAGAAGATGTGGAGGAGAAGGAGGAGGAGGATGAGGAGGAGAGAGGGTGGAAGGAGGAACCTGGGCAACCATACAGGCAGAACGCAGGAGACGTCCCCAGATTCTAGGCGCGAGCAGGCCCGTGAAATATCCCCTGACCGCCCCTTCAGGGTTATGGAACCAACGCCTTGCTCTAGACATCTTCACACTCTGCTCTACAAGCACGCAGGTCCAAGCCAGCAGACATGCAAACCGATTGAGGCATGTCAGTGCAGATTGTGAATGTCTCAGGCGAGGCGCTGGATTCAGCACTCCCAAAGGGGAGCCACCAGGGGGAATGGCACTCACACCTTCGCGCCAAGATTGTGGGGATGTCGCAGGCGGCTTGCGTGTTTGCTTGCTTGGACCTGTGTGCTGTTCAAGCAGATTGACGGGTGAGTGTCATACTCCCTGGCGGCTCCCTTTTGGGAGTATTGGAAGCAGCCCCTCGCCTGAGACATCCTCCACCTCTGCCTTGACAGCACGCAAGTCCAAGTCAGCAACAAAGGCAATCCGCGTGAGACTTCCCTCTGTATGTCGCGACCAGGTGAGTGTTATATACCCCCTGGCGGCTCCCCCTTGGGAGTGCTGAAACTAGCCCCTCGCCTGAGACATTGTCACAATTTGTGTTTACAGCACGCAGGGCCAGGCCAGCATAAAACAATCCGTTTGAGACTTCCCCACAATGTGGCGCGACCAGGTGGGTGTCATACCTCCGGGGGCTCCCTCTTTGAGAGTACTGAAGCACGCCTTTCGCCTGATATATATATATATATATATATGTATATATATATATATCCACAAGGGCTTCGGCCCATGCCGCCAGCCCCCTGTCTCGGATAATGGTAAATGCAACAGCTAAATCATGGGGACTGGGCGCCGCCGTGAAGCAGCGTCGGGACCTGTTTGTGTTTTGACCCAGGCCCCGCCGATGTGCGTGAGGGGTGTCGCCGGATTTCAGGAACGTTGCAAATCCTATGTTGCTTTTGACACTGACCCCGCCGATTTGCCTGAGGGGTGATACCGGATTTCAGACATGTTGCAAATCCATTGTGTTTTTGGATCCTGGCCCCTCCGATCTGCGTGAGGGGTGCCACTGAAGTGTAAACATGTGGCAAATTCCCGATGTTTTCGGACCCAGACCCCGCCGATCTGCGTGAGGGGTGCCACTGAAGTGTAAAAATGTTGCAAATCCGTAATGATTTTGGACTCTGACCCTGCGGATCTGCGTGAGGGGTGTATTTTTTTACCTCCCCTGAAATTCTGAGAACCCCCCCAGGGCGCGGTAGTTCTGCTGGTTTGGGCCCCCCCCCCTCGCGCGTTCATCAACAAGGAACGGTAAGCAGCAATCTAAAGGCTGCCTCCTCTGCCGCCCACCCCAAATCGGGGCGATGCCCGTTAAAAACCATGTCCGTTAAAAACCACACAAGTCCGTTAAAACCACACAAGTCCAAGCCACCAAAAAGGGAAGCCGCAAAATGCATCCCCACATTCTGGGCGCGGCTGGGCAAGTGTCATACCTCCCTGGCGGGTTCCTTTGTGGGAGTGTCGAATCGCTGAGATGACTTCCCCGGGTAGGGCTGAGTTCACAGTTTCGCTGGAGACATCCTCACAAGGTGCGAGTCGGGATGCGAGCGCGTCGCAAGTCTTAATGCGAGTGAGTCTGAGCATGATTGAGTCTGAGTGGGAGTGTGTCTGAGTGCGAGTGAGCCTGAGTACGACTGGGTGTGAGTGAGTCTGAGTGTGCTTGAGTCGGAGTGTGAATGAGTACGAGCGTGATTGCATCTGAGTGTGGGTCAGTCTGAATGTGACTTAGTCTGGCTGTGAGTGAGTCTGAATGTGAGTGAGTATGAGTGCCTTAGTCTGGCTGTGAGTGAGTCTGAATGTGAGTGAGTATGAGTGCGAGTGAGTCTGAGTGCGAGTGAGTCTGAGTGCGAGTCTGAGCGCGAGTGACATATGATTGCAAGTGAGTTTCAGTGCAAGGAAGCCTGAGTGTAAGTTCGGCGGTGCGAGTGAGTATCAGTATGAGTGAGCGCGCCTGAGTGAGGGAGGTGAAAAGAAGGAGGAGGAGGAGGAGGAGGAGGAGGAGGTCTGGAGGCGTTTAAGTAATCAGCCCTTGCAGCTCCGCCTTGGGGTGTCGAAACCTGCGCCTCGCTCGAGACATCCTCACAATCTGCGAATCTGAGTTCGAGTGCGCTGTAAGCTTGAGTGCGAGCGAGTCTGAGTGTGAGTAATCCGGGTATGAGTGAGTCTGAGAACGAGTGCATTTGGAGTGTTAGTGAGTTTGAGTGCGAGTGAGTCTGAGCATGAGTGAGTGAGAGTATTAATACATCTGGGTAAGAGTCAGTCTGAGTTTGAGCCAGTATGATTGCGTCTGAGTAAGGGTGTGTCTGAAAGAGGGCGAGCAAGAGAGATGTGCGAGGGAGTCGGCGGCGTCTAAGCAACAACAGGAACTCAAACTTAGGATGCAACACAGATACGACTCTCGACGACGTTAGCCGGCGTGGACCGAAACCAGTTTGTTCCCAGCAGCGTATGTTCTGCAATGCATCATGTGCAGTCGATGTTCCCAGCAAGATTCGCTGTGCAATGTGTACTAGGTGCAGTCTATGCGGTGCAATTTAGATCGAGCAATCTAGCTTGTGAAACCTGTGTGGAGCCGTAACTGTGGTGCAATCTACGTGGTGCAATCGACAAGGACGGCGTCGACTGAACGGGGTGGCGACAACGTAGCCGCCAGACCGCCAGACAGGCCCAGACGACGGGCGGCGACGGGACGGCGACGGCGACGAAGTAGCCGCCAGACCGCTAGATTTAAGTCGGGTACGTCTCTCTACAGGAGGAATATTCCAAAATATATTAAAAAATAGTACGGGATTTGTTTTAGCATGTGCTGCCGATTTGGGAGTATTATTTTGCGTATGTCTTTATTTTCACCCCAAATCCGCTTTTGCGAGGGCATGCCCGACCTACGGCTAGACAGGCCCAGCTCCTCTGAAGAGCAGCTCGAACCACCGAAAGGAGCAAGAGCCCCTCAGTGCAAGCACCGCTCGGCAGCGAGCCCAGGGAAGAGGTGAGGAGGAGAAGGTCTTCCCAGAAGGCTCGGCAGTCCTCCAGCCTTCTGGAAAGTTTCCTGAGCCTTCCCCGAAGACACAATCAAACATCAGAAGGCCGGAGGGCGTCTCAGAAGTCACGCCGCCCCCTGAGAGGGCCTTCTCCTTCTCACTTCCCCCCCTCGCTCGCCGCCGAGTTCAGTTTCCGGGTCATAACTCGAGCGGCCGTTCGGGAGGATCCGGGCACCCATGGACCGCCCTCGGCGAGGCGCAGCTGCTGGCAAGCGTCCCGAGGCCAGAAGACCGCCGAGAACCGACGAGAGCAGAGCGGCCGCAGACCTCGCAAACCTCGGAGCTCGAACCGCGCACTTCCCCCCCTTGCTTGCCGCCGAGCCTCGCCGCCGAGCCGTTGCGAGAGAGAGCCAAGACCGCGAGTCCGGCAGCGCCAGGGCA